TCGCTTCAACACTTTGCAAAGCAAAGGAGGAGAGAGTTGGCGGGAGTACGGACCTGACCTCTCCTGGTTTATCAACCTTTGGGTAAACTGAAGTGCCAGGGGAAACAAGCCACCAGCACTTGCTTCTGGTGCTATTGGGTTAAAAACATGCACGAAGGTGCTCTCTTGTCTTCAAAGGCTGGGCAGTGTACTGCGCCATGCAAGCCCTCCGTACAGCCCTGCAGTTTGGGAGTCGGCCCTGGGTGCTTCTACAGCGTGAGACTCCACTGGGTGCCGAGGAGCTCTGAAAGCCGCAGCCCGTCGACGTCCGTGGAAAGACACTTGAGCCTTGAAACAATCCCACATTTCCATATGGGCAGATCCACGCATTCAGAGACTCAACAGACACCTGTTGGGCATCATTGTAATGCTCTGCAGCCGAGTCCTTTATTACAGTCTCTTTATTCGTGGTTGTAACAGTAAGACTGCAGGGCTTCCGCATAGCAGAAGGGGCATAAAATACAGTCACCAGCCACGTGGGAGCCCTGGTCTGGTGGCGTTTCCTTAAGGGATTTCTATCGAGTGTGACTTTTGATTGCTATCTCAAGCGCGCTGGAGCTAGCCAGGGGCACAGAAGTAGGTCTCCGTAGTCGTTACATTACACATCCCCTCTATCAACCACCCTCGTTGTGCCTGGCTAAATTGGAAGTGCCTATGAAAAGGGCAGCTAATTGCATGTGCAGCCTGGTAAATGCACATGGATTACCAAACTACAAAGGCTGTCTTTTTACCTATGCCATGGAAACGTTTAATCTGGCTAGGGTAGACGTCAAGACGTGTGAGTTTGTTTCCTTTTTTAATTGACTTGCTGATGAAGGACCCCCAATGCTCAAAACACTCATGGTAGCCCCCCATCAGTCGCGATAGTCTCTTAAAACAATTCCAGTATTTTTTTTGGATGATAACTGTTGTGATCTTATTGTTGCTTTTCTGGTTTCTGAACCATAAAGTTATCAGCAGCTCGTTTTCTCTGTAACCCTAAAGGACAGAAACTCCCATTTTTCAAAAAGCAAAAGGTAAAGGCCTGGGCAGATGCCATATTTACACTGGTATCAATGACTTGTACAATAGTAGAGAAGAATAGCAGAGATCCAACGTAAACCCCTAAGCCAGGGTAACTTCACCCAGTACACTGGGGTAGGTTACATCTGTCCCAGCTTGGGGTATGTATCTGTTTGCTCCAGACCGTGATGAGATGCTGTAATGGATGCATGCAGCTACAAATAGCTGCTCATCTGTCCGCTCAAGATCTTGATTTTAAAGTGGTGCAACCAAATCAATGTACGTAACACTAGTTCAAATGCATCCTTCGTCCAAATCTTACGGAGAGGATGGTGAGCAAAGAATTTCATAGACGTAGACATTAGGGGTGGAAGGGACCTCGAAAGATCAGCAAATCCAGCCCCAAATTTGCAGGGTTTGTAGAGGTAATGGGTGCTGGCAGTTGCCCACGGTGGTAGAAAAGGCTGGGCAACTTTCCTTCCTCTGATTCATGCAGTTGTAATTATGGTCCCGCTACAGGCTATGGACTCTTGTTGGAGTGCAAGTCATGGTGAGCTCGGTCTAAGAACATGACTGGGAGACAATAGATGATGCAGGTTTAGGAGCAGAATTTTATTGGGTATATTTACATATAGTCATTGTGATGTGCGTCTCTCTACGCATACACAGACCTGCACAAAACCACGGCCTTCGTTATACCTGTGCAGGGACCTATTCTCTCTTTAAATGACTTCACGGTTTGGTTGTACTTTCTGTGGTAGGACTGTCCACGCTGCACCTCTCACCACCCCACCACCTGGTTATCTGGAGGCAGCTTGGTGCTGGTGATGCTGACTTAGGCGGGGTCAGGATCTGGCCCACCTTTCGTATCAGAGCCAACTATACAACAAGGAAATGTGCACTGACTCAGCTACGGGGAATGCAATTGGGAACCAGTCCAAGAGGCTGAACACCCCTGAGGGGAGAGTGCGTGCATAGAGGAAGGTGCTGGGGTCAAAGTACTGCCTTGTCTGCTGTGGACCGGGCAGAATTAGGCCCTACACACCACCCTGCCACCTTCTCTTCCACGCTGCAAGGGTCCCATTTTCCTCCAGTCTCACACCAATGTAACGCCCCAAAGCTGCAACTGAACTGAGCCATATAGGAGCTCACCAGACATAGGAAGTCTTCTGCAGAGCTACCAAATGACATCTTGCATGACCATTATTGAGCAACAGATTCATTGCCAGGTTTGGGGGGATTTGGGGGGCAACGGCACGTTGCACAATGGCAAGTTTGAAATTCCTCCAGGTTAAGGGAAGAGCTATGGGAGGAAACTCGGAGAAAATCGATGGGCCAGTCTGCTGGTTCTTTAAGCACAAGACTAAATATTTACCTAATCAGAATAAGCTACGGGGAATAGAAAGGCATTCATGGCATTACAGCTTTTCCCTGGTCTCCAGCTGAACCGGGGGATCGAGGAGAGGGGCACAGCAGCCAGCTGCAGCCTTCAGCCAGCAGCACCTCGGAGGCCATTAAAGTGTGAGAAAGGAAAGGAAAGGGCTCCTGCTCAGTATATTAATGCTGGTTGCTCTCAAGACTCTCCTGAGCCCATTTCACAGCTGTGCCCTTGCTTCATGAGGCGGCCACACATCCAAAAGCTCCAGCACCCCAGGAGAATCGGTGTCAGCGGTGCAGGGTCTATGACACACAGTTCTGGTTCCACCTACCCGCGGGGAATCTCGGTCCCTACACCGAGTGGTCCGTTGCAGTGTTACAGAGGCTCCTTTGTTTCCTTATCTGCCTCCAAGCTCTGCGCTGTTGGTAATGTGGGCGCGGGGAGACTCAGGCATGATGTTGTCCATCCAGTGAGTCAGCCCGCAGCCCTATCTGATCATTCCCACCTCCGTGGATAAGATGCAGAGTTTACTTTATTGCTAATCCACCAACTGCCACTTGCATGGGAGGGGATGGGATATCGGGGTTGGAATCGGGGTCCTGTGGCTTTGCTTTCAGGGCTGAAAACTAGGGGTGTTCTAGCCAAACTAGGGAAAAGGAAGCAGCATACAGCTGTGCACAGAAGTGCATGCTGTGTATGCAAGAGGGGATGCCCGCTGAGTGCCGCCTCCAGATAACCAAGTAGTGGGGTGGTGAGAGGTGCAGCATGGAGAGTCCTGCAGAAAGTACAACCAAACCATTAAGTCATTTAAAGAGATGCCCGGAGAAGAGGAGGATAGGAGAAGAGGCAGTTTCCATGCCGTGGTCAGCTAGTCATCACACAGCTGCTCAGAGCCGATGGCGATGGAGCCACATAAACACACGGGCAGAGATGAGGACTGATAAAATGGTAACCGCATGTAGCGTTTACATCAGCGGTTCCCAATCTGCAGTACGGGTACCATCAGTGGTACACAGACAACCTGTCAGTGGTATGCAATAACGGATTTATTATAATTACTTATATATGACTTATTACTTATATAATTACTTATATATGACAAAAATTCGCTGGTGATACTTAAGGTTGAACTGAAAAAATTGCTGGTGGTACATAAGGCTGTATCGTTTTCAATTGGCGGTGCGCAATCTGTCAGAGTTTGGGAACCGCTGGCTTAGATGATGGATGTATGGGATGGTTCGGACAGGGATGATCCTGCCTCAGGCAGGGGGCTGGACTAAATCAGTCGTTTTCAGCCTGTGGTCCATGAACCCTTGGGGCCCCACCAATTATGTCTAAGGGGCCCACAAAAAGATGACGATCAATCAAAAATATGTGAATCCCCACGCTTAACATTCAAAGGGGTCTGCACCTCCATTCAACATTTTTGTAGGGGTCTCTGCAAATGAAAAAAGGGTGAAAACCCCTGGACTAGATGACTTCTGGAGGTCCTGGCTTCTCTATGACTCATTAGGGGACCAGCCTTCAATCCTGGTTCTGAAGTTTGGGAAGTCAGGAATAGGACGGTGGCTTTGGAGCCCACCTCTCGTATGAGGAGGCCGTCCTGGGTTACACGGGGGTGAAGAGAAAGAAGCGGACACGAGTCTGGGAGAGAAAGGATCGTTGCAACGGGCTGCCCGGCTACTGAGGCCGAGGGCTGTGAGTAGGAAGCACAGCTGTTGGCCGTGGCCTGGGAAGGAGGGCTTGTCCTGAGCAAACATCCTTGAAGTTGTAGCACGTGTCTTCTTTTAGCTACGAGCAAACAAGTCTAATCACTCTGTGCAAACAACCTGTAGCTCTCGAAGTCCTGCGCAAGCCCCACCCTGGGAAGAAAAGGGCAAAGCAATTAGGCAAACAGCAACTCCGTACCAGCCTGGGGGCGGGTGTTACTGGTGAGGTGTCAGGAATGCTGCTTTCAGTAGCCAGGCCTGTAGCCGACAAGGCGGTGACTAGCAAAATGAAGCATTAAGCTTGTCGGTGCATGTGCAAGACGCAGCTTCTTGTGCACCGAGCTCGGCTCTTGTGTTTCAGCCATCGCAGAGGCCCTTCCACCAGCACCTCTCACACCACCCCAGCCTTGCCCTGATGATGTTTGTGGTCCAACCTCCAGCTGGGTAGGAGCTTCATAAATCACAATCCAGATAACAAGCGTCAGAAGTCTGAGCTGTATGGATCGCCTTGCACCGACACCCCGTGGAGAAAGGACCTGGTTTTGAAAGGGGTCACGGCTCTGGGTGGGACAGGTGGTGCTGGTCTAGGGTAATATGTGCGCTGTATGATCAGCTTCTGCTTTCCCGGCACAAGAACTGCAAGGTTTAGATACTGGTCCAAAAGGAGATATAGGATAATGAGCCAGGGCCTACCTAGCACTGCTTGTGCTGCTGCTGTTACAATCATAAGTGGCAATAAATGAGTAGGATGCCCGAATCTCCCATTGGAAGAGTCCCATGGAGATCTGGGTGCATGATGTGGACATGTAAGCCACTTGCCCATGGCAGGAAACCCAGAGGATGATATCGTTTCCTTTCTTCCCTTCTTTCAGATGTTTGGCTGCGGCTCCGTCGCTCAGATCGTGCTCAGCAAAGGGACCCACGGAGGCTTCCTGACGGTTAACCTGGCCTTCGGCTTTGCCGTGACTCTTGGCATCCTCATTGCGGGACAGGTGTCAGGTACGGGGGTTTGCACTTCACAGCTTCTCAGCAGCAGGTCTAAGCCCCTGGTTGGCTCCAGGAAACAGTCAAGCAAAGACTATCGTGGGTTAGAAGTCAATGGCCCCTGGTCACTGTCTTGATAATAAGTGGTAAAATGCGATGATGATGATATAAGGGGAGGGGTGAAGATAGACAGATTTGTGTATTCAGGAGTGGACAGGTATACAGACTGACTCGTTCTTGGTGGGAACCTCCCTGCATTGTAGAGATTTGGGGTGGATGAGACCTGCTAGAGTATCCCAGTCTGCCTCTGAAATCCAGTTCCCTACAGTACATTTACAAGGGCTTTATCCAATATAGTTTTAAATGAATCGAGTGCTGGCTGACCTCTCAAATACCCCTCCAGGTGTTTTTCTGAAGACTGGCTCTCTCTGAGCTCTGGGTGGGTGGACTGGCCCATCCCTTCCAACAGACAGCGCTACATATCCGTCCCACAACAGGCTGCCAAAGCATCAGTCGCGCATCAGTTGTGTAGAGCGGTGTGCGGACGCTCTGCCCAGGAGGAAATTTGGCCCCAGGGGGGTGTTGTTACATACACGGCCCCTGAATGCCCAACGGTTGTACTGCTTCCTAAAAGTCCCCAAAACTGTTGGTCTTCCTGCGCGGCGCGAATCCTGTACGTGAAACCCGCTGACAATAACTCTCTTTCACAGGCGGCCACTTGAACCCAGCGGTAACTTTTGCCATGTGCTTCTTGGCTCGTGAGCCCTGGATTAAGCTGCCGGTTTATGCGCTTGCACAAACCCTGGGGTCTTTCCTAGGAGCAGGCATTGTCTTCGGCCTGTACTATGGTAAGTGGGCACGGTGCTTGGCTTGGCTTTTGACTGCTCTTGAGTTTCCTCTGGGATGGCTCTCACTTTCCCAGGGCAATTTTGAGATCAAGCCTCCCCTGATCAGAGTCAGGACCCATAACTCATCACGACGTGCGCTACTCATAGCAGTAGAGGTAGCCCTGTAACCCACTTGTATAACGCAGGGCAGAGGACTTCCCTGTTTGAAGTAAAGCAGATCATTTAGGAAGGCATCTACTTTTGGCTTGGATTCTTCATCACAAGAAATCTCTCTCAACCTTTGGTCAATTCTTTCAGAGGTTAATTGCCCTCACTGCTAAAAAAAATGGTGCTCGTTTCTGCTCTGAGTTCGTCCAGCTTTGATTTCAGCCACCGGAGGTTATACCTGTATCTGTTAGGGTGACCTTTGTTCCCTTGTCTCCGAGTTTTGATGCAATTAATAGGGCAACAGTATAACACCCATCAGAGATCAGCAGAAATCTCATTCCTGGCCTCGTTCGCTCTCAGCTCCTGATCAGAGTACGCAGGGCAAGAGTCAGCATGTAATAGTTAACGCCTTTCCTTTTACACGGCCAAGGAGAAGGAGGAACAGGGATTAACAGCAGGGCCGCAGATTGCTTTGCTACATAAACAAGCTAAAGCAATCAGTATTGTGCAGTATTTATGATCCTCCTTCTCCGATTTAGCAAGGCGGTAGGTTTCAGTCAGGACCAGGTGGCTGATAAGGTCTATAAGTAACTGGTATAACAACAATCTTTTATCACTTGTGCTTAATGAACTTCAGCAAAATCAGTCTTAGTAATCAACGGGCCTTTTTATTCAAGATCAGCAGGGACCCCTTGAGCCAGACTTTGTCCTCTGAGACACATGCACCCAGTTACCTTCCAAGTCAACAGGCACTTGCCTGTCTGAGAAGAGAGACTCTGGTTTGCGATCACCTCCAAATCCAGCTGGAAGTTGCTGATCTGAAATGTGGGAACTGTTGTATCATTATGGGACGCTCGTACTAAGACGTCTTGGTGCGGTGTCTGAATGATTTATGGTCTAAACGGACTCGGCTGAGTATATGCAGGTTGCAGTTTAGTGGGGATGTCTGCACGAGATGCTACCGCACAGTGGTTACTATGCATTTATTTAGGACTTGTATAACCCAGTACTAAATAAATGCACAATAACCAGGGTTACTGCATGGTAGTGCCGGCAAACCCCTTTTCAGTGATGCTACTGCATGGTAGCTTAATAATACCGCGCAGTGGCATATTAGCACTGTTGATGCTGCAACGTGCTGCTGTGCAGTATTATTCGGCTACTGCGCAGTTAGCGTCTCACGTAGACGTGCCCAGTTTGGAGTAAAACATGGAGCCCTTGTAGCTCATGATTGCTGAGTGCCTGTTTGTCAACGGCAGCTTGGCCCGTTGTTGTTGGTCTATGAAGGGCATCTCTATCTTGCCTTCTGCTTGATTTCAGGCCAACGTGGCTAACTACCTCTGTCTAGTGTTATGGGGCCGGATGAGATTCAGGATGGGCGCTCCACTAAAGTCATAGAAAAACAGGGCTGGTGGGGATCGTATCTCCTCCAGCCCCATCTAATGCCTCCCAGCCAAGTGTTTGTCCAGTGATGGAGATTTTACAGCTTTTCTTGGTCTTCTTTTCCATTGCTTGAATGTCCTTAGCTTTTTAAGCTAGACAACTTTGTAGAAGTGTGTTAGAAGACGAAGCATCTAAACACGCGCATCCTTTCTTATCCCGCTGTACTCTTGCATGGCCAGGCTGAACACATCTGACTGACTCCCCACCCCTTATTTCCCACTCTAGATGCCATTTGGGCTTTTGGCCAAAACAAGCTGATCGTATCCGGAGAGAATGCCACTGCCGGCATTTTTGCCACGTATCCCTCTGAGCATCTGGATGTAGTGAATGGATTTTTTGACCAGGTAAGAGCTGGGGAGAGGGAGGAGCATTTTTAAAGGACAATCATCTGATCAGCTTGTAGGAAATAATTTCTGGTTCAGGATGAAACTTGAGTTTCCTGGGACTGACACTGGTGGTGTTCAGTGGGTTTTGTGTCAATAATGCACTGGTCAGTACAGGAAACGGGCTGGTCTTAGACTTGGAGGCAGACAAAGAGTCGTGTGCCCAGAGGAGTACGCACAAGTCACTCCAGACACTAATGCTGAGCCCCCGACTCAGTTCACAAGCACCAGAAGGTGTTTAATGAGTGTTGGCAAGCAGCACCTTGATGTGACTTCTCTCTCGAAAAGTGGCATCTTCAAGTAAACCGTGCCCCCACTGCTGGACCCTCCTGACAGATCCAGTGCCTCGGGGCATGTCTTCACTGCACACTTTCCTGGGTTAAGCTAGCCTGGGTGTGAGCAGCCACACTGCAAGTGACAGTGGCCTCACTGGTACTGCACGTACCTGCGTGCAAAACTGAGTTTTGGGGGGGTTATATCTCATGGGTCCTTGCGCGGGAGCAAGGAGAGCCTTTCCATCGCTTCCTCATGAGGGTTGGGAGAACATTTCTGGGCACAGCCAGGAATTGTGGGAAGGCACTGGAAGACTCTCAGCACTTTGAGGGTTTAGCTTGTGTCCTCACTGCACAGCAGCCAGGCTCCCAGCTTAAGTGAACGCAGCATCCAAGCTCAAGTCTATGATCTGGGACAGGCGAGGCAGCGTGGATGGGATGCTCCAAGTTCAGGTGGATGATTTGCTTGAGGGCAGCAGCAAGAGCAAGACCTGAGTAAAAGTCCAGTTTCTCTCTGCTGAGAAGATTTACATTCCTTCATTCCCAGCAGGATGAGGCCTGATTCAGAGCCCATTGAAGTCTGTGGGAGTTAGGGGTGTTTGTCAATCCCCCTGCAATTTTGGCACTTAAATACCTTGGTCAGTCTGGTACTAAGGGAGTTAGGAGGTCCAGCCCCACCAATTAGGCATTTGCCATTAGTTTTCTTTACCCGTGATCTCCAAATAAGTCTGGCACCTCTGTGCATCTCATGGTCCTCTTCAAAACTGAGCGTCTGGTCTGCAAACTCTCCTTGCTGACCTGCAAGGCATCCTCCTTGACCTCCCTCTCCCTGCCTGGGTGACCGTGACTTCCTTTTGGCCCTTTACCCATCACTGCTGCTGGGGTGAGAGCCTTCTCCTCTGCACCCTCCTGTGCCCCTGGGGCAGCCTTGGTCATGGATGCACAGGGTTGAATGTCAGCTGGAAACACCCTTTCCCACTGTTACTGGTTGCCATCTGATGCAAGGCAAAGAATAGCACCAGGGGATTAATCCCAATGGGTCCTCTGTGCTGCAGCAGTCACCTTTCCATGTTGCAAGAGGAGATTGGATCACCATCAATGCAGGCTGGTAGAGGACTGTTTAATGTCCTCCTTGCTGCACCACTTCTCTGCTGCCTGTTGCTGCCAACAATGCAGCTTTACACTGATGACAACCGCCAGTCCCATGTGTCTCCAGCACTGAGCAGCCTTGTTAAGAAAGGGGCAGGTTTTACTCCTGATGTGCCCTGAAGGCTATTGCTCACTTCTTGTCAGGGTTGGACTTGCTGTTCTGGCTGTTATCCCATGCGATGCTATAGTATTCCCCAGTTTGGATACTGTTCATGTCTGGCAGTGGAGAGGTATCTTGTTTAAGCGCACAGCCACATTGGTACCCGCTTTTGTCCCTCCAAAAGCCCTAGATGGGAGACCTTTTGCATGGTAGCTAGAAGGCTTTACTAAAAGATGGATCTCTCCCTCTCTGTCCTGACAGTTCATTGGCACTGCAGCCCTGATTGTTTGTGTCTTGGCTATCGTGGATCCCTACAACAACCCTGTCCCACGTGGCCTGGAGGCTTTCACCGTCGGCTTTGTGGTCCTTGTTATTGGGACCTCCATGGGCTTCAACTCCGGCTATGCCGTCAACCCAGCTAGGGACTTTGGGCCTCGCCTGTTCACTTCCATTGCTGGCTGGGGCTCCGAAGTATTCACGTAAGTCTGAATTAAGCGTGTGTTATATTGATTGGATTATGGCCACCATGTGTCTTGATCCCACAATAACTCCCCCAAGCAGGTGTGACTTCTGGAAGTGGGCGTGCGAGTCAGTTTTGGAGCAGCTCTGGGTCATATTAACACCTTTAAAAAGATGCTGATTGCTCTGAAGCATCTTGCTGAGACACAGCCAAGGCTGGGATGTTTCTGGAGCTCAGAGCTGGTACTCTGGCCTTACAACCAAAGAGGAAGTCTAGGAGGAGGCATGAGAAATGCAAGCGTTCCCCAGACCTAAACTTTGAGACTCAGTGGTGGCTTTTATTGAGTGGAGGCATTGGACAGGAAGAAAAGGGTGAGGACAAAGTTTGGATTATTTCCCAGGGGATAATCCTGATGTGGGCAGATCAGCACTAATGGCCATCCACGAGGATGCATGTGTGCTTGCTGTTAGGAAATCTCTCCTCTCTTATGAGGCTCCAGAAAGGCCCAGGAGAGCCGTGCTGCTGTTGAGGCTTCCTGCATCGCTGTTGGCCCTCGTGGCTAAAGTTTCCAGATGCGCCCATGTGTTTTCGGTGCCTGCAGTCCCGTTTTCACTGAGACACATGGGAAGCTCTGCCCCATTGAAAATCCACGTATACACTCCGAGACGACTGGAGCTTGGGTTATCCCAGCCCCAGAGGCAGATCCTATAGTATCTAGACCTCATCTTTCAATGTCTTCTGTTTTTCAGTACCGGGAAGCATTGGTGGTGGGTGCCAATTATCGCCCCTTTCCTTGGGGCCGTCGGAGGAGTGATGGTTTACCAGCTGATGATCGGGTGCCACGACGAGTGTCCTCCACCAGCCACGGAGCAGGAAACAGTCAAACTGTCCAACGTGAAACACAAGGAAAGGGTCTGAGGAGGCCTCTGCCCCTGTTGGGTGGATATGGACACTTTACAGAGGACTGCAGTGGGCAAAGAAGAGGGAGGAAGGAAGAAGACAGCTTCAAGAACAATAGCGAGAGTTTCTTTTCCCTTCTCGAGATAGTCTGTCCTAATTTCTTTGCCTATTCCTGGTGCATTTGCTTTCGAGGTTTGCCTGTGTGCCTTTGCCAAGCATTGCAGTGCCATATAGTTTTTTTTTGGTAAAGGGGTGGGTGGGTGGGAGGGGAAGAGCTGAACGGCTAGCACACAGGCCTAGGAAACAGGCGGCCATGTTTCTCACCAGGCTGTGCTCCCGGCTTCTTGCATGACCCCCCCTAAGCATTTCACTTCTCTGGGCTTGTTTCTGTCTTCTTTGCAGGGGGGGCAATGTACCTTTGGCACAAGCATTTTGAGATGGGGGGATGAACAAGGACCAAATAAAGAACGCGTGGCCGTCGGATCACGTTCGTTCCTGGTGTACCTCTGCTGAAGTCCACGACTTTATACCAGGGGCGAACGTGACCCTTTCCATTTCCAGAAGACCTGCAAGCAATTGGTCTTTTCTTAGGGTTAAGCAATGTTAGACAGGATCAGTAACCGTGCACGGGACTTTCATTTTACAGTAGAATAAAATGGTTACAGGAGTCCTTCCCTTGAATATTTGATCCGCAGCCGTTCTTGGTCTCACCATGCCACTGAAGATGATATTTAGGGAGACACTGATTCACCGAAGGCTTACCTGGCTGAATGCTTTTGTGTTTCTGGTTCATTGGAGAGGCTTATGCAGCAATCCAGGTGTTGTATATAAAGTATGAATTGCTACCAGCCCCGGTCCACTGAAAACATAGTCTTTGACGCTTGATCAATTTGAGTTTGTTTGTAAACTTTACTTTAGCTTTTTATATATATTATATGTAAGGGTGTGTATGTATGCGTGTGTACATACACATACACATACACTTATGCCATACAGATGTTACTTCAAATACCAAGTCAGGGAAGAGTTAATTTAAGGATGATCTATGGGAACTGTCTATTCGCTGACTGCTTTGCCCTTCTATTTTGTTCTCAAAGCACAAGCATATTGGTAGAGATATCCCTGTGCTCATATTATTCGAGCATCTTTGATATCCTTGGCACCATGCTGTAGGGGCATCTTGATTTCCGTGACATCATGGTATTAAGAACATCTGTGATAACCTATGCTGCCCAGGAGTGTCCAGTTCCTGTCGTGTCATGTAGTGAAGGCATCCTGAATGCCCATGGTGTTAGATGCGTTCTGGTTCCCAAGATGCCATATTCTTCGAGTATATTTGATAGCAATTGTGCCAAGTTGCTAAAGAATCTCAGGTCCCCCATGGCATCACACCATGAAAAACCCTTTTGATACTTGTTCCTATAATGCATGAATTCCTTCAAATATGTAACTTGTATGCAGTACACATTTCCAGTTAGTGAAAGTATGTATCCTTTCTTGCCTTTTTTTTTTAAATAAATGTCAATACCAGAATTGTCAATGGTGGTGCTGGTATTATTTTGTTTTTTACCCATTTCCAGGAAGCTTTCATGCTTGAAAAGTCATCTGCGACCATAACCTGCACCTGTAAATACTCTCATGGTCTGGACGTGTTTCCACCAGTGTATGGAAGTAGTGGGCTGATGACATAAACCCTTAAATGGGGGTAAATTTGCCAAATCCAGTGTTACCCCAGAAAAATCAGGGCTTAAATGCTACTAAATGGTAGCCTACCAAATATAGGTGTTGCCTGTCTCTGTCCGTCCTTGGATGTTTTTAAGCCTTGAGTAGACAAAGCCTTGGCTGGGATGATGTAGTTGGGGCTGGTCCTACTTGCAGACTAGATGTGACCTCCTGAGCTCCCTTCAACCCCCGTTCTCTATGATCTCAAATAGTCTTGTGGCAAGGAGTAGTAATGGATATCTACTGTTTGGGCTACCCTGAATCATGTACATTGAATGGGGTATTTGCTCATCGATCAGTCATGTGCATCTCTGGGGAGTCTATAAAAGGAAGGGGGCATAACTACACTTGGGAAAATGTAAGTGCTGCCTTCGCTCCTAACTCCCACTCTCTTGCGTTGTGCTCTGTGTGGCCAAGGCCAGGCTACACAAGAACCAGGGACACAGAATAGTGGAAGGGACTTGCACAAATCCATTTGCACGTTGTGTTTTTATTAATGCTAAAAAGGAGGGGCCAACCCTCTGGACTGCACTCAGACTTGGTGTCTAGGGTCACCGAAAAGCAGTGTACAGCACTGGATGAGATGAACCGGTTGGTGCTTTAGAAGGGGTGAAGAGCATCCTCCGGGAACATCTTGATCTCAAAGGAATATTCATGGTAGAGGAGCCGAATACGCTCCTACAGATTCACTTACTTTTGGGAGAGATGAACCCTGTCTTAAGGGGTCTCAGGTTCAAGAGCTGCCCCCTTGAAGCCCCAGCTCTGGTACAATGACCTGCTCAATTGGGAGAGTTACTGCAGAGACCAAGATAGGAGAAGCAGAAATAAAAGATGTGGGCACAGGGTCTATGTGAGAAAGAGGCCAAGGAAACCTGATGGGAAAACAAAAGAGCTTCCCTGAAACCTGACTCTGAGTAAATAGCTTTTCAATGCTGCCAGATGCCTTTTTAGCAGAGACACCAATAAAAGCTAATGAAACTGCTTTGTGCCAGAGGCTGGGAACTGATTATATAGTCGAAGGAGCTTATCAGATATAAAAATATTTTCAGTGAACGATGTTAAAAGAAAAGAGAAAAGGAACAAAGCAAAAGGTCAGTGTTGTATAGGCGTGAAAGCTAGGAAGAATCAGCCATTCAGAAGGACGGACACCTTTTTGCTCAATATGCCACAGAAATTTGCCAACAAGAAAGTTTGCCAAAACACCTTTATTTTATTTGGCAAGCATGAATGCGAATTGGGGGGCGGGTTTGGAGCAGAACCACTGAGGTGCCGGGAAACACGGATTTGGTTGCAAAATCTGGGATGAGACTAGGGAAGGAGGAATTCACACTTGTGCCCCCAAGAGAGAAAGAAAGGAAAAGGAGCGGTTTCCATTTAATAAAACTAATTTCTTTAAAAGAAAAAGACACTTAAAAATGAGCCTGTTGGGTTCAAAGCTGCATATTTTTAATGGTAGCATTTTGGCCATAACCCTATCAATGATGGGGAGGATGGCTGAAGCCACCAGCTGCAGGGATCAGCTCATGGAAGGTGAAACAGCAGGATCAGGGCTTGCAATCATGAGCTACAAGGTAAAGGCTGCCTGCCTAGACCCGTGCTTACTCCTCCACCGTGCATCCTTCCAGCGGACACCAGAGCCTTGCAACCCTGTTCCTACAGCTTCACCTCCTACATCAAGGGTGAGGGCTCTGGTCCCAGCGTAGTCAAACTATCATGCTCTGCCTCCAAAGGCAAAGGATTGATCTTCTGCCTGGACTGGTGCTGGAAGATGTCCCCGGTGTCCCCAGCTGGCAGGGGGCTCTGGATGTGCCCCGGTCACCTCACCCCTCAGTGCTCCATGGGCTACAGAAACTGGGCAGAACTTTGATGCAAGCAGGAAGGTATGCGCTCCTCTCCATAAAAGCTGAAGTATGTGGCGTGCAGCCTTGTGCAATTACGTGGCCATCCTTGAAGCTTTATTGTCCTGAATTCTTCAGGTTATGAAACCCAATAAAAAACACACATGTAAAAACAAGTGCCATAAGTGCCCGCTGGAGCAGACAGAGGAGCGGCAGGTTTGCAACAATGCGCTTGGGCTCAGAGACTGGACTTTCCTGGGTTGGTGGTTTGTACCCAGAAAGGTTTCCTACAAAGCCAAGATTCGACCAGCTGAGCCACTGCCAGCTCCTGTGGCTTGGTGCTGGCACCAAGGCTAAGTGAATGCAAAGCATCCTTCACTCCCTGCAGGTCGAGGTCTAGCCACACTTCAAGCAGGACCAAGGAGGTGATCCTCCCCCTCTATGCGGCACTGGTCAGGCTGCAGCTGGAGTACCGCGTCCAGTTCTGGGCGCCGCACTTTAAGAGGGATGTGGACAGCAACGAGAGGGTCCAGAGGAGGGCCACTCGCATGATCAAGGGACAGCAGGGCAGGTCCTATGAGGAAAGGTTACAGGACCTGAACCTGTTCAGCCTCCACAAGAGAAGGCTGAGGGGGGATCTTGTGGCCTGCTATAAACTAGTCAGGGGGGATCAACAGGCACCGGGGGAGTCCCTGTTCCTCCGGGCGCCGCCAGGAGTGACCAGGAATAACGGTCACAAGCTGGCGGAGGGAAGGTTTAAGTTGGACATCAGGAGGCGCTACTTCACGGTCAGGGCGGCTAGGGTCTGGAACCAGCTTCCAAGTGAGGTGGTGCAGGCTCCCACCCTGGGGGGGTTTAAGAGGAGGTTAGATGACCATCTTGCTGGGGGCGTTTGACCCCCAGGGCTCTTTCCTGGCATGGCAGGGGGTCGGACTAGATGATCTGCCCAGGTCCCTTCCGACCCTAGAAACTATGAAACTATGAAACACTTGCCCTCATTCAGAGCCCACCGAAGTCCATGGGAATCAGGAGTGTTTGTCAATCCCCCTCCTGCCAAGCTGCAGTTTTGGCACTTAAATACCTTGGTCAGTCTGGTCTTAAGTGACCCAGGAGTCCCAGCCCCACCAATTAGGCATTTGCCATTAGTTTTCTTTACCCATGATCTCCAAATAAGTCTGGGATTTCTGTGCATGTCATGGCCCACTTCAAACGGAGTGTCTTGTCTGCAAACTCTCCCTGCTGACCTCCTTGTCCTCCCTCCCCCTGCATGGTGACCGTGACTTCTCTTTTGCCCTTTACACGTCACCACTGCTGGGGTGAGAGCCTTCTCCTCTGCACCCTCCTGGGGCAGCCTTGGTTGTGGATACACACAGGGTTGAATGTCAGCTGGAAACACCCTTCCCCACTGTTTCGGGTCACCATCTGATGCAAGGAAATGCTGAGTGTATCATCTGCATGGAGGACTTTATGCGCAGAAGAGCTGCCCCGTGTTCCCTCTGTGCCGAAGAAGGGGAAGCTGCTCTTTCTGTTGCAGTGTGACACTGTTATCATCATCATCATCATCCTCTCAACACAAAAGCTGCTCCAGGCCAGGATCCCGTGTACTAGGTGCTGTACAGACATGTGGGAAGAGGCAACCCCTGACCTGAGGTACCTACATCTTCAGTGCTCACCTACTTGTCGTGCTCCACTCTCCACTCCCCCAAGGTAACAGCAGTCCAAGGTAGCGTGTCCCAGCCTGAGCAGGGGGAGTGGGGAAGTGGGGAGGAGAGACATGCGGTTAATCAAACTGTTTGTGCAATACTAGTGCAGACCGGTTCGGAGGACGGCGATAAGGTTTCTTCCAGGTGCCTGGTTCAGTCCCCACGTGGGAGGATAATGAGCTGAAATGCTCTAGGAGTGGGAGGAAGCGTTTCTAGTGGAAATCTCGGCGTTCAAGTTCAAGGGAGGCAGCTGCTGTTCTTGGGCATCTTATGCAGGGGTCACAGAGGACGGGGGGATTGGGAGGAGCAAGCTTCACCATCATGGTGGCTGCCCCCATCTCCTGGGTCTCGGGTCCACCCTGACACTCCTGGGTTTCTATCAGGCTGCTCCAGGAAGGCATCCGAACCGGCCTGGGTCAGGACTTCCGCCCGACCACAGCTGGGTTGCAAGCAGTACCCGGCACCCCAATCGGGATCTCTGCTGATGCATCCTCCTGCACACCTTGCTTTGCTCACTTGCCTTATTTCTCCTCCTCCCTCTCTCTCTTTTGTCTGGGGAGACCCTGACATGAGGAGCTAAGCGCTCGCTTCTCCCCACCTGCTCCAGTCGTGGGCTACCCAGCATGCCGGTGCTTCAAGTCGTGCCTCTGCCTTCAACTGCCCATCACTGGCAGAAGTTTGCCAGGCCTCAGGGTGGCTAATTGCACCATGGTCTGGGCTTGAGTCTCTCCAAGGGCAGGACCCCAAAATAAAGTCAGTGCCAGAGTCTTAAGCTGTGATTTCTCTCTCTTTTAAGTCTCTTTTTGCACGTATTTGTTCTGTTTTGCCCTAATGAACATGGCACTGACCTTCTCCACCACCCCCACTGCCTCCAGACCATCTGCACCTCCCTTTTTTAGCCCTTTCTCCCAAAGGACCCCCGCTTTAAACCTGCTATTAAAGGGATTGAATGCAGCAATGAGAAAAGGGAATAAAGGACATACTTCTCCGGCTGTTTTTCTTTCTGTCCCTTCACTAGAAGATTGTTACATGGGAGAATAAACCGGGGGTAAGATGTTCGACACTTGAGAGTGCCCCGCACAGAAACTAACTAAAAAAAGGGATGTCATTAGCACTTTTATCTTGGTGTTAGGCCTGCGACACTGGCTTTGCGACCCAGCCTTTCCCGAGTCGTGGTCTTCTTTCGGAGAGGTGTAGGGACCCGTCCCAGTCTCTCCAGCATCCCCCTCTGACCTCAGCATCCCTCCTGTGGGGACCAGGCCCTTAGCAATCCCGGA